CTGATTTGTACACACATATCACGCATGTATGTATGACTGTGGCATTACTATCGAAAACGGCAGTGTCAGTGCAGGCAACAATTTTAAATGAGTTATGAATCTGAGTTGAGTGTGATCTAGTATTCTCATTTCTGTTACTGTTAAGGAATTGATTAATCAACTAAGATTAGAGAAATATTTGGATAAGTGGTAGATTGCTTGCATCGAATGCTTCATTCATGGGTAATTACCTGGATTAGTTTTCGTTTGGGTCAAAGGCCGGTAAGTTGAGGCAATTTTAAATGGGAGCCGGTGACAGCAGCTAATATGGCAAAAGGCACCCAGCCTGCATTGGAGTTCTAGGATTGCTGGACAAGTGCTGCGAGGCACTGCGAATGTGAATGAGCCTAACTGCATGGAATAAAATGTAATTTGCTGATAGCGAAAGATGCGGACTGAACAGCCTAGATGTCTGAATTGCCCCGAGGTGGCCGAAATTCCGATAAGAGATTACTGTGTTCTGGTTGTGTTAAATGATTTATCCAAACTTCCGGGTAATCCATGATCTTTAACTTCTTCACAAGGATGCATCGCATGTTAACACTGTACACAGGGTTAGAATACAAGTAGCTTAACTGGGTTGGCCACGGACCTGATGAGGTCCTGATGAGGTGGTCTGAGTACTGTGCCAGTACTGAGCACCAGTACTGCCCGAAACTAAGGTGATTTTTCTATCAAGCGTGTTCGTTGGAGGTTAGAATAATGCTAAACTCAGCGTCATGAAATCGTAACTGCTGGGTACTGCCAAACATAAACTAACGATGCAGGACATACCAGGATCCACTTTTTGAGTTTGGAGTGATATTACCCTAGCTTGTTCGTTGGGGACTCGAGATAGTGAACATTTTTTTAAAAAAAACAGAACGTTCCAACTCATCAAATGCAAATGAATGAACTTATGCTCCGATGATGCAACTTTGTTCTTTTACCTGGCAACGAGCTCTGTGGTTATATCGCGTGAAACATTTTGGTTAAACATTTGTTTTTCGATTCAAACGTTTCTGGGAATGATTAAAAATCCGTTGACAACTTCTGGGATGACTTTAGGAAAGCAACCATATTGTCTGGCTCGGATTTTACCAATTTTGTAAACCACCGCCCAGGAATGAATTCTCCCCGAATGAAGGTAAGAATTATGCTAATTTTGTCAAAGCGGTGTACGTTACGAAATGTATCTATTGCCATGGAGCCTGAGCATACCGAAACAACAATAGAGCACTGTAACAACAAAAGTTGCAAATTCTTGTGCTGGCCTTCGGCTTAATTGAATGCGAATAAAATTATTGTACAGTTATTTTAGGCAGCCTTGGCAGCTTTCATCAGAGGAAGAAAATACTGAGAAATGACTTATTTTCACTTCAAGCACCACCCTCAATTTTGCATTTGACTGGCAAAAAAGATTTACCTTGGAATGTTATCAAAAATGTCAGAATTAGTTCACTCTGACAGTAATTGGAAAAGCCTCTTATCCAACTTGTTGAAATGTATGTAGAATGAGAAACGACAAGGATAAAGGGAGAATGCGGATGTGTCGACCACGAAGATTTGAAGGAAAGATTCCCTGTTTCGCAAAAGAAATTTTGAATTAGCTAATTCCATCTGTGTGAGATATAAAATGCACTGTGGATTAAACTGCCATGGCATTTCGCAGAACCATTCCCATGCAAGTGTGTTCCGTAATTTATCTGAATTTATACTGACAAAGACTTGCAGATGCTTAATATAGTTCGACAGCCTACGACCAACTTCACCCCACTAGGGACTGTTCAACAAGGCAGATTCCCCAAGGTTCCGCTAGTGTTTTTTCAGCTTGAGCCGAAATTGGATGCAGTTAATGAACTGCACTTATTTCATCACTACTTTCAGTTACCGGGGACTAAACTTTATTCCAGGTGAGCATCTGGGTTATGCTGTTCGTCACTTAAATGTGGTACAAAATTGGGCTCCTAATGATTCGATTGGATCCATAGTCTAGAAGTCGTAGTGGGTTCTGTAGACGAAACACCCTATTCGGTCACACATCATAAGTTTCGGTTAAAGAATATCATAAAGGAGAAATTTTTCTGTTCAAAACCAAATGAAGTTGCAACTGATTGTATTTCGCAAAAATCAAAGCCCTCAACGAACAGGTTCTTGATATAGTAAAAGCAGGATAATTGTCAAATTTTAGACAGAAATAAGCAACTCATTCATAGAAATACCGGTTGTTTGCTTCCGTGGTAATGTATTGTATGCGTTTATTGTGCATGAATAATGCACCGTTCCCTTTTTGCTGTTGGGACATTGTTCAAATTTTGATAAGATTGGGCAGATTCACGAAAAAATAAGTGCCTACTGCCCTATATTTGAAAGGCAAGCAAAAATGTGTGAATCTTTTACAGGCATGCATACTCAACTTTGAGCTTCACTCAACATATTTCCTAACTATAACTCTAATATCCTTCATTGGAGTATGCTCACAACCACACTTGATTAAGTGGGTATTGCAAGGAATTACTCTCGTCATTACAAACTGTCGTGCTCACCATCGGGAATATTTTAGCAGCGAGCTTGACGAACTCTAGGATCGTGACTATTGACCTGAGTCACGAACTATAAATGAAAAAATGGTGTTCTTGGAATGTAGTCAAACTTGCACCTTCTCACTAGTTAAGCAAATCGTCCACAGAGTAAGCCAACTCGTGAGTTTATGATGTTGACAAAGATGGAACATTTTCTGCGACTACTGTATATTTCATTTGTGGAGATCTTGAAATCGCAGGTCAGACAATTCGCCCACAGTCACAGTAGCTCTAGCCTCCCAAATGCCCCAGGAGTAGCTGCATAACCAGTAGCCAAAAGTAAGGACATCTTTCAGGAATATACCGTCTCTCTTGTGAGGCTTCCCCAAATGGGTGTGATAATCTGCTGAGAAGGAATGTTTTGAAGTCTTATACCTGGGATTTTAGCCAATCAATGATGAGCTGTTAGTTTATGACTGTGCAATATTTCGGACATCTCTTGACTAAATCTACGGCATAAAACACTCCAAATATCGCTCGTTTTGAGGAAAATCGTGAAATAGCCAAAGTTGCCCTGCTGGCCCTTGTATTTCACTGTGCTACGTGAAGATAGTATGTCACATCTCGTTGAACTTCCTTGGTGAAAATCATAGCAGGTTGTTGGGTGCAAAGGCATATACCGTCACGGGAAAATCAGCAAGGTACCGATGTTCCGGCTAAACTTTTATAGCCCTAAAATTATTTTCTTGTATAGATTCTAGGGGGTGAGAATTTCGAATAGTACGAATTTCTTAACTCTAAATAGATTATTACAAAAGTGGTGCACATAATAAAAGAAATTGATAAAGCGCAACCTAAACTAACCAAATAAAAGTCCAGCCTATTCCGTCGGTCCTGAACGACTAAATTTTATAGACTTTAAGGGAGAGATGCGCTGGAAATGTCTGCGAATGAAGTTAATCATCACGAGAGAGATGTGCGGCTGAGTTACCTTTAATCGTGTTGTTTCATCGAGCTTATTGTAGCAGTCATTATCCATTTCACCTTTGACCCAAACATCATGAAAACTGGGGCTCAAAACCTCTGTTAGTAGAGGGTTCGGTCTAATGCCGATCTTGCAAGTGAACAATAGATGAGCGAACATAGAACTTGCATTATTGGTTGTTTCGCGGTTAGGCTGGCTGCCAAAATTCTCAGTTTAGATCTACATCCTTACTACATTTCTAGAAGCAACAAATTGCTTATTTGCTACGCTCATTTCAAACGCTTCCGTTAGGATTTTAGGTATTTCTATCATTTGAGAGAGTGATCCTTGGAGATGAACTTACACAGCAACGTGATAGATCATAGAATTCCATGTTTTTGGTCTCTCCAAAAAATTATACAGCTTCGCCTGTAATCTCCTATAGCGCACATCTGTTCGACATTGTCGCACAGGCAGGGGTTTTCCGTGCAACGAAGTACGACGGACATCCACCGTACGGGCAATAAATGCAGATGATGTGCTCGATGAAGTAGTTTGTATTGGAACTGGAAAAAAGTGTTCATCTTGTTCCACATTGTCCGCAATGCGCACAGTATTATGCGATTTGGCATCGCGCTGTACAACAAGTAAATCCATTACCTGAATGTCGAAAGGCCACTTGAAATCATGCACAGTTGCGTCATTTTTACAAATGTTCAAATTGTTCACTTAGTGCAAATCCATCGAGAAGAGAAAGGGACTCATATTTAACAAAGTGGTGGGTAACTCCTCCACCGGATCATTCACACTCTGCACGTATAACATGAATCTTTTGCAAACAAACGTTTGCAAGTGCCATTGGCCAATCAGTGCTCCATTTATTTGCATGCCGACCGCATTGGTTGTTGGGCAAGTTGAAACGCTGGGCAGTTTCACCTTGGTCGTCATGTAGAGGGTAACATTCGGATGTTCAGTTGGAGTGAATCTGCTTGTGAACAATATTCATCTGCCAAGGAAATCGGTATTAAAATTGCAATTCTTGTTCTAGTTTTTCTATGTAGAATTGCAAGCAATCATCATGCTTGTTGAATTTAGGCTCCGGGTCGTGGAAATATTGTGGATACGGAAAAAGCAACTAACCGGAAGTGGCATTCACAAGCACAACCTCAACATAACACTCTTCCTAGTCAGCTATTCATGGTTTTCGGGACATTTTGGGCAACGATCAAATACTATTAGGTTTGCGAAAAATCCCAAAAATAATTCTCCCTCGTAAGTAAACTAGAAGCGCATGTGATTAAATGAAACTTTTCTTTAACCTGTCTCGATAAAATTGGCGAAAAATGTAAATAGTGCTACATTTTAGCGAATATACACTCATTTACAAACTAATTTGGTTCTTTTGAGAAACTCACCTGGAACCCAGCTGAATCTCTCTTTTATGGTGTTCTCAGGCAACTGAATGTGCTACACCAGGCCGCCTCATGTTTCAGTCGCTACGGTATTTGAAATATCGCGATACTTTTATATCTTTGTATAATATATATCTTTGTGTATCTCATAAGGTTGCTGAAAATCCGTCGACAGCCTACGACCGGTTTCGCCCCTTCAGTCGCCTGAGAACATCATAAACGAGAGATTCAGCTGGGTTCCAGGTGAATCTCTTAAAAGAACCAAATTAGTTTGCAAACGAGTGTATATTCGCTGATTTCGTGGAATTTGGTTTCAAGTAGAACAAAAGGCTGACGGAAACCCGGAGGCTGCGCCTATCTGATGAGCCCCAAGAAGGGCGAAACCGGTCGTGAGCTGTCGATGGATTTTCAGCAACCTT